TGTGTGTGTGTGTGTGTACCGTCAAATCGGATCTGACTGGTACAGGAGGAGATTGGCCCTCCTCTAGCAGAGCAGCTGGTGGATTTGAACCTCGTACCTCTGGGATTGCAGTGCAGCTCCTTGCCACTAGGCCACAAAAAGGGTTTTTTGGCAAGTTTACGGAAAAGTTAGATTTTTATTTGTTCCTTGTATATTTTTCTCCCTTTCCCTGCTTTCTGAGAACTAGGTTTGGTTTCCATCTGTGGCATCGTACTTGGGACGTCCAGAAAAGTTCTACTTCCTCAACTCCTCCAGATTCCCTACCTCTGTGGATATAACCCCCCCTTTCAAAAAAACCACTGCCATTGAGTTGACTTTGACTCTTAATGAGTCTATAAAACAGATCAGGATTGCTCCATGGGATTTCTAAATCTACTTCGTGGATGCAAACTGCGTATCTTGCTCCTGCAGAGCAGGGCTGGTGGATTTGAACCGTCAAACTTTTGATTATTGTTGTTAGGTGCTATCCAGGAGAGTAGTAGGGCTCATAGCGACTCTATGAACGCTAGATCTGAGTCCTGGCCCATGCCATCCTCAGAGTTAAGAATTTAGAATGAGAATTCTAAAGGATGAGGAAACTGTAATGTGAAAATAAAACTATTTCAAGTGGGAAAATGAAAGTTTAGCGAGATTAACTTGCCCGGTTCACACAGCTGGAAAGCAGTGAAATGGAACTTGAGTTCATCCAGCTAACTGCATATACAGCTCTGCCCTTGGTCTTCAAATCAGAGTATAGAAGGTTCCTAACAAACGGTGCACATCTTCCATACAGCTGTTTTTAGAGGCCAAGTGGTAAAGAGTTGTGCTGTCAACTCCGAAGCACGGGATTCGAACCCACCAGCTGTTCCTTGTGAGGAGGAAGATGGGCAGTTTCCTCCTGTACCTTTTATTGCCTCTGAAAACTCCCTGGAGAGACAGCTGTGGTTAGGTTCTGACTTGATGGTACATAACAACAAAACATCTTACATAAATACAGGTGTTGTTATATGCCATCGAGTCTTCTAAGACTCAGGGACCCTGTGTACAGCAGCTCTGAAGCTCAGGTTCAGTGGCCAATTGAAAAATAAACAGCCAGTCATGGAGTTGCAGGAGGCTTAAGCATCTCTTTAATCTGGTTGTGCTCACACAGCTACCCATGCTGAGAGCCCAACGGATCTCAACCCTGCCCTGTCCTGTCTCATCTCCATCTCCATGCTCAGGACCATTCTTGCAGTCGCTGTGTCAGTCTATCTCGTTGGAATATGCTTCTCTTTCCCTGATCCTCTCTGCTTTTCCCAGACTGATGCCTTTTTCCGAAGACTGGTGCCTCTTAATGATATGCCCAAGCGTGAGAGATGAAGTTTCACCATTCTTACCTCAACAGAACAAGAACATCCTGGTTGCAGTCCCTCTGAGCCAGATTTGTGTGTTCTTTTTGACAGCCCTTGGTATATTCAATACTTGTCAATACCAGCACTGTTGTTGTTGTTGTTGTTATGTGCCATCGAGTCGTTTGCGACTCATAGCTACGCTGTGTACAAGAGCCCTAAACGCC